GCTCAGTCTATAATCCCGCGCCTTGGGAGGCTGAGGTGAGCGGATTGCCTGAGCCCGCGGGTTCGAGACCTGCCTGGGCAACTTGGCGAGACCTCATCTCTACAATAAATCAAAAGTTAGCCGGGTGTGGTAGTGCGTACCTGTAGTTCCGGCTACTTGGAAGGCTGAGGCGGAAGGATCGCCGGAGCCCAGCAGGGCGAGGGTGCGGTGACCGGGAGCGGCCACTGCACTCCAGTCTGGGCGACAGAGTGAGACTACAACTCAAAAAAAAAAAAAAAAAAATTAATAAGGAAGTTAGAGGGTGTTGTGTGTTGCAGTTTGAAATAGCTTGGATTGTTTTAAAATAGTCAGCATTGTGGCCTGTTAGCAGTCTACAAGAACCATTTGTTTCCTCAGCAGATATTTATTGAACCCTGCTATATGCTAGTCCCATGAAATACAGAGATGAAAAGTATAGGACTCAAGGGGTTTATTGTTAACCCGCGAAGTTGGGTAAATAAAACTCTGGGGCCTGCTTGACCTTGCATTATATTAAAATATGGTTGCTAATGAATGACTTAGAATCATGTTTACCATCTTCTCCAGTCTCCTACATCATTTGTTTTCTTTTAACACCCTCTGATGAAAATACTAGAAAGCATATTTCTGATCATTGTTTTGACCTCACGATTCCAAAGGGACCCAGAGTCCACCATTTTCTCCACAGTCTTCCATGAAGAGCTTCCATGGTAAGCACGAAGTCCTGGTCTTACCAGTGAAGTCGTAGTTGGCCTCTTTGTGTGGCCTCCATACTCTGCCAGCATTTCAGTAGCCTGATTGATGGGACATATCTGTCAGCAAGATTTCATCCCAGACCTGCCCCCAGCCAGTTGGGCTACAAAACCTGTTGTTTTACTTCTCTCTTTCCTCAAATGATCTAGGTGCCTTTTGCTCACTGGTGATAAGAGGCAAAATTGGCATCATAGGTAAACATGAGTAAATTTCAGATTGTTGTCGTCTTGCCTCATAGATTGAAGGTATGACTTCAAACACCATTTACTACATACATCAAAGAGAAAGCAAACAATTTAGGTGTTAAATATTTCAGATTTGAGGCAACCCCCTTGGGTCCCCTCCCACTGTGGGAGCTTTTCTGTCCTCTCAATAAATCCTGCTTTCTCACTAAAAAAATACATACATATACATATATATATATAAGATTTGAAATCCTTTGTGCATTATTTTGGAATCTGATTGACGTATCAAGGGTCATTGTCAAGTAATAAGTGAATATTTCAGAATACAGAATTTTGCAGAATCTCGGAAAATAACTTCAGGTTGTCTCAAGAATGAAGTTCGGTTGTGCTCAGGCAAATGAAATGTTGGTGCCTATACCTGATTTTTTTGAATTCTGGTTGATATTAAAGCTATCCAGCTATTAGGTTGCTGTTGGAAGCCGATCTAGGAGAGAGTTTTAATTTTTCGTCATAGTGACTGTGCTAAATTCGGTACATCATACAAATCAGAGAAGAGTAGGATTTTGGCAAGAACAGACACCAATGCTTGTTTTCCACCTACTACGATTATGTTAGGCTCTTAGTATATGTTTACCACTTATTCCCCATCTTACGGAAGAGATAACTGAGTTTCAGATGTGTTAAAAGTGTAGCCTTAGGTCCCACAGCTTGTACATGGTTAGAGCTGGCATCAGTACAAGTGTATCAGATTCCTGAGTTTGAGTTTTCCTCTGTGCTGTGCTGACTGTCCTTGAGAAGTAGTTTACATAAATAGACTGTTCTCCATGAAGATTAGATCTATGGAGGTGATATGAATGATGAACTTACTAGGTTCTTTCATATGGTGATCTCAGTAAGATGATGATACTCTGATTTTCTACACATAATTGGAGACTATAATTTATGATAATTTGACATGGATTTGGCTGAGTGACATTACTGCCTTCTCTAGTAGAGTTGACCATTTTGTTGTTGCACTGTACTCTAGTGGTCTTTACTCTAGTTTACAAAATGAGGTGTTTTCCAGTTTAGAGCCACGGTTTAGTGTTCAAGTTTTTACCCTCCCTCACACCTTCTCTGCTCCTCCCCCTTCCCTTTCAAGTTTTCTTTTTGAGACAATTTTAAAATATGGATTCATTTTCTTAAAATATAGATAATTTTTTCATTTTGCTTTTTCTTTGTTAATTTTTTAGTAGTGTTTTCCTATGAATTTGTCTTTTTCGCCTATATTATACATTTCTTGTTATAAAATCATTTACCACATCTTAAGGTCTTCTTAGGGTCTGTGCAATCTGTAGTTCTTTTCTTTATTTTTAATTTTTGAAACCATCTATTGAGATCTGATTGGTGTACATAGCTATACATATTTAATGTGTACAACTTGAGTTTGGAGATAAGTATATACCTGTGAAACCATCATCACAATTTATGCTGCAAACATATTCATGACCTTAAAAAGTTTCCTCTTGCTCTCTTTAGTTATTATTATTACTATGCGTGTGTGTGTTTGTATGTGATAACACTTAACATAAGGCTTCCCCTCTTTGCGAGTTTTCATCTTGTGTACCCTAACTTTTGTACTCTATGACTGATACCTCCTCGTTTCCCCATCCCCATGTCCTTGGCAACCACCATTCTACTCTCTGATTCTATGTTTAACTATGTTAGAGTTTATGTATAAGGGAGATGGCATAGTACTTGTCTTTCTGTCTGGCTTATTTTACTTAGCATGATGTCCTCCAGGTTCGTTCATGTTGTTGCAGATGGCAGAATTTCCTCCATTTCTAATGCTGAATAATATTCCATTGTATGTATATACCTCATTTCCTGTATCCATTCATCCATCTGTGGACATTTAGGTGGTTTCTATTTCTTGACTATTGTGAATAATGCAGCAATGAACATGGGAGTACAGACATATAATTGAGATCCTGATTTCAATACCTTTGGATAGGTACCCAGAAGTGGGATTGTTGGATTATATGATAGTTCTGTTTTTCATTTGTTGAGGACCCTCCATGCTGTTTACCAGAATGGCTGTACCAATTATATTCCCACCAAGGAATGCAGATTTCTTATGTACAAGGGTTCCCTTTTCCCTTTTCTCCACATTCTCATCAATACTTATTATTATTATTATTTTTGGTAATAGCCATCCTATTGGGAGTGAACTGATATCTCATTGTGGTTTTGATTTGCATTTCTCTGATGATTAGTGATGTTGAGCCCTTTTTCATATATTTGTTGACCATTTGTATGTCTTCTTTGGAGAATTATCTATTTAGTTCCTTTGTTTCCACCTCCCCTTTTTGTTATTGAGTGTAGTAATTCCGTATATTTTGGAGATTAACCCTTTATCAGCTATGTGGCTTGTACATTTTATTCTGCTTGTGGCCCAAGATGGGGCTTCTTGAATTTGAAGCTTGACATCTTGTCATTGGTTTGGAAAATTATCAGCTTTTATGTCTTCAAATATTGCTTATGTCTTAATCTATTGTTTTTCTTCTTTTGGTACTAACATTATGTGTAGTGTAAGAGCACAAAAGAATGTTTCACATGTCTCTTATGTTCTTTGCTGAGTCAGTAATCTTTTTATTCTTCATTTTGGATATTTTTTTCTTCACATATTTCCTAGTTTACTAAATCTTGTCTTCAAGTGTGTCTTGTCCTCTGTTAAACCTGTATATTGAATTCTTAATTATTAGTATTGTGTTTAAGTTACAAAATATGTAAGGTTTATTTTTTAATTGTTTCCAGTTCCCTGGCAAAATTCTCTACCTTGTCTTTTAGTTCCTTGAACATATTAACCAGAGTTATTTTAACTATGATTTCTGATAACTTTCTTAGCTAGATCTCCTGTACTTTGGTTTCAGTTTTTGCTTTTTTTCCCTCATCTGGCTTTTGGTAAAGTCTTATCTTTTTGTATGCCTAGTTATTTTTGTTTGCATGCCAGAAATGTTATGAGAATTTGAAATAACTGTAGTGGTAATTTGAGACTCTGAATAATGATATCTTCCTCCAGAGAATATTTTCTCTTGGTTCTGGCAGCTGGATAAGGACAGATCCAATCAGAAATTGAAATGCCGTGAAGTTGAACTTCTACTTTTGTGAAGGCTGGGCCATTTCTAGTTCTTGCAATGAGAATCTTTTGGGATCCCAGTCAAAAGTTTGGTGTATTTAACAGTCCCCTCTTTTTTGGTGGTCCCTGAGCTCAAATTTGTATATTTTTCCTGCTGTGAAACTGCCAGAAGCTCAGCCTGCCTTCCTAGGCTCCTAACTGCTACTTTTGGCACTAGAATATGCCTTGAGGGGGAAAAAAAGCTGTCAAATGCTGGTCTCTCAATTTTTTAGACCTTGGTCCCCAAATTTCTTAGTCATGCTGTCCTTGTGATATCTTCAAACAGATGTGTGTGTGTGTGTGTGTGTGTGTGTGTGTGTGTGTGTGTGTGTATACGTGCACGTGTGTTATTTTATTCAACTTTTCCGACTGATATCAGTGGGTAGGTGGGTCTAAGAAGCCTAGGCTACCATGTGTAGGAGCAAAGGTGCTGGGAACACATCTCAGAGCAGAAAATAGGGTCTGGACCTTTAGCACAGGATTTGGTCATTATTAGTGGTTGATTGGCTGGCTATGTCATGGATTCTTCTATGGCTCGGGCTTCATCTTTGAAATCACTGTGTCCCTGTGATGAGTTTTCTCAACCGCACTGTGGATCATCTGGGCCAGGTGACTTTTTGTTGCGGTGGGCTGCTCTGTGTACCATAAATTGTTTTGAAGCACCTCTAGCCATTACCTACTATGGATGTCAGTAGCACTCTACTCCACTGTTGTGGACACTGAAAATGTCTGCAGACATTTATACCTGTCCTTTGGGGGGTGGGGGTGGGGAAATTGCCTTTCATTGAAAACTACTGGGATAATGCAAGTGGTGCCCAGTAAAGGCCATTCTGCTTGACTCAGTGTGTTGGTGTGTTTTCTAATGTTGGCTTTCCTTTAAATCATAGGTTTTGAAACTGCCAAGTCTTTTGCCCTCCATGGTGCACATGTGATCCTGGCCTGTAGGAATATGGCAAGGGCAAGCGAAGCCGTGTCACACATTTTAGAAGAATGGGTAAGTACTTGACTATTTTTTTTTAATTGTCAAATACACATGCTGGGCTAAACACATGGAGATTTTAGTGCAGTGTGTAAAGTTTATTGCTCTTGGAATAATGTCTTTATTTTTAAAGTCATCTTTGTTTATTTTATGAATGAAAGGATGAGCAAGTCCATTATTATACACACATTTGTTTATAGTTCATTGTCAGTGTCTTCTGCTTTATTGAGCAGGGGCTTGAGAATGTTTACTCATTTAACTCATTTATTAAGAAAAATAAAACATAGTAACGCCCATGATTGCAATTAGGAGATTGTTATGCTTATGGTTTTTAAGATTAAAAAGGGGTAGGCTTTAGTCCTATCTCTGTTTTTTTATTTTTCTCTCTCTATGTAGATGTTGGTGTTGATATGTCTCTGTATAAGCATTTATTGAGGGTTTATAGTGCTCTTGGGATTAAAGCTATAGCATCAAACAAAACAAAATTCCTGCCCTCACAGGCTTACCTTCTAAGTAGGAGAAACAGACCATAACAGATAATTACGTTTAATATTTAACATAATGTCAATCTGTTATAAATAAAATAAAGGACAATAAAGCAGAGGAAGGGTTGGGGAATGACAGCCTGAGCTGTTTCAGGTGGGGCTGTCAGCAGAGAGTTCTCCAAAGTGGTGACATTTGATTTGAGACCAAAATGAAGTAGAAGTGGACCATGCAAATGTCAAGGGAAATACTTTCTTAGCAATAGGAATGGCATCTTCAAAGACAGATGTAGGAATAGGCCTGGAAAATTTAAGGGCCATCAGGAAAGCTGGTGTGACCAGAGATGAATGCAAAGAGAAGAGATAGGTGAATTGCCAGTGGTGGGGTCTGGTAGGGTCTTAGAGGTAGAGGCAAGGAAGAAATTAGAGGGTTTGAGCCAAAGGGTGATGTAAGTTGATTGATCTATTAATGTGATCACTGGGCTTTGGCATGAAGTCTAGATTGCTTTCATTCATTCACTTGTCATACATATAGTCATGAAGCTTACCACTGTAATAGGTGCTGGGGTCCACTGTTAAGGACAGCCAGACATTACCACTGTCTTTGTAGAGCTTTCATGGAAGATAGGTTTAACTAAAGAGATGTCAATTTCAACTTGCAAAAACAGCAGATGGTACTATGAAATGATGATAATGACAGGGAGTTGGGAGACCTTCAAAGTCTTCGAAGAAGAAGTGATTGAACTGAGATCTCAGGAAAGATCAGGGAAATGGTGGAGAAGGGTCAAATGGGGTAGGGAATGGCATCTGCAGTGAACCTGGAAGGGGGAGGAGAGACAGACTTGTGTACCTGGGAACAGTGCAAGAAGAGGGCTGGGTGATTCGTCCTTTTCTTGTCTTTTTTTTAGTGGGAGTCTCACTCTTGTCATCCAGGCTGTAGTGCAGTGGCATGCTCATGGCCACCACAACCTCGACCTGCTGTGCTTAGGCGATCCTTCCAACTCAGCCTTTCAAGTTAGCTGGAACTACAGACGTACGCCTCCTTGCCTGGCCAGTTTTTTTTGTGTGTGATTTATTGTGGAGACAAGGTCTCACCAAGTTGCCCAGGCTGGTCCCGAACCCCTGGGTTCAGGCAGTCCTCTCACCTTGGCCTCTTAAAGTGCTGGGATTACAGGCTGAACCACCACGCCTGGCCAATTCTTCCTTTTCTAACATCATGAAAGATTTCTTGCCATCTGAAGAAATAGACAACCACTTACTTAAGAATATTTCTGGTGTTCTGGAACTGAAGTTATGAAAGTAAAGAAAAGGAAACTTTATTTTTGCTTTTTCAGGATATTTATGGCTGAAATAGTTTAAATTCAGTATATTTCAAATGAATCTTTGTCTTGAGCTCACTAGCTTCACTATTTTGGGTTAAATTTTAAAAAAAGGCAGAGCTGTGTTTTTTCTGATTATCTTTGAGTCTTTTTGACTTTAAAGTTAAAAAGTAATAACCTACATCTGATGGAGTAGTGACCTTTAGAGATGTATAAAGAAGAGAATAAGCCAGGTGCAGTGGCTCATGCCTGTAATCCCAACACTTTGGGAGGCTGAGGTGGGAGAATCTCTTGAGCCTAGGAGTTCAAGGTCAACCGGGCAATATAGTGAGACCTTGTTCCTAAAAATAAATAAATAAATAAATAAATAAATAAATAAATAAAAATAGCCAGGTGTAGTGGTCCCAGCTACTTGGGAGGTTGAGGTGCAAAGATTGTTTGAGGCCTGGAGTTCAAGACCAGCTTGGGCAATGTAGTGAGGCCTCGTCCCCACCCCCCCCACCCCCCAAAATTAGCTGGGTATAGTGGTGCTCACCCGTAGTCCCAGCTACTTGGAAGGCTGAGGTGGGAAAATTGCTTGAGCCCAAGGTTGAGGCTGCAGTGAGCCAGGATCATGCCATTGTACTCCTAGCCTGGGCAACACAGTGAGACCCTATGTCAAAAAAATAAAAATGAAAAAGAAGAGAATACATGGTAATACATATATATGATTTGACTCTTCATGCAGAATGGGAAGGTGACAAATAAAAAGTGAAAGTCCTTGGCCCTTCTCTTGGAAGGTAGACATTTTAAACTATTTTTTGTATATCTTCCAGAAAAAGGTTATATATACCAGCAAAATATACCCATATGGTTCTGTACTTTGAATTTTTGATTTATTACTTCAGGAGATCTTTTTTTATTAGTGCATACAGATCTGTTTCACTGTTTTTAACTACTGCGTACTCTTCAATTATGGGCTTCTGCCTTAAGCAGTCTTCCTTCTGGTGGACATGTAGGTTGTCTGCTTTGCTTTGTTACTGTGTGCTATTGCAAGCAATGTCGTTTTACAGTTCTCTATTTCTTGCATCAGTCTTTCTTACAATGTCATCTAACATTGGGTGTAAACTGTGCTGCAGTGAACATCCTTGGTATATGCATTTGTACACCCCTAGAGCAGTGTCTCAGCAGTGGGCTCCTTCATTCAAAGGGTATAGGCATTTAACATTTTGGTAGGTTTCTCAGTTGTTTTAGAAGTATTATTCCAATTTCCATTCTCAGTGACAACATAGACAGACAACTGTTGTCTAGTAGCAGGGAGTATCACACTTGTATAATTTTGCCCATTTAATAAAATATTTTATACTAGAAAAGTACAATTCCAGGGGCCCTAGTGATACCGTAGTAACCATATTGTACAATGGTATTAATGTTTAATCTAGATTTGGAAGCTAATGTTAGAGCACAACTTTTTTCATCTTTAAATTAATCGTTGTTTCTTAGAACACAATATATATGATGAACACTGTATATATATATATATATATATATATATAATGCATCTGCATTTATCCCATTTTAGCTATTGTTAAGTCAGGGTTTCACTCCACCCAGGCTGGAGTACAGTGGCATGATCATGGCTTACTGCAGTCTCTGACTCTTGGGCTCAAGCAATCCTTGGGCTTCAGCCTACTGAATAGCTGGGAATACAGGTACGCACCACCACACCCTGCACGTTTTAATTTTTTTTTGTAAAGGATAAGGCCTTGCTGTATTTCCTAGGCTGGTCTCAAACTTCTGGTCTCAAGTGATCCTCCTGTCTCTGCCTCCCAAGTGCTGGGATTACAGGTGTGAGCCACTATGTCTGGCCTCTTTCTTGCATTTTGTGCCATCATTGGGTCCCTGTGAGTCAGTTTGAGGTGATAGAATTTATTATTGTATAATTTCCCTCTACCATATATTACCTTGAGGTAGACTAACGATCCCAGAGAAAGAATTGTCCAGAAACATTTACTGTCAGGGATATAAGAAAAGGAAACAGGAATGGAAACAAAGCTAATACATGCCATTTCAAATGTTTAAGTTAGATTTTACAGATTGTAGGCTGAAGAAACTCAACCTGTTGATTGTGTCTCATCTGTTCACTTGTTCCTTTTTTTTTTCCTGAGTCAGAGTCTTGCTCTATCGCCCAGGCTGGAATGCAGTGGTATGATCATGGATACCACAGCCTTGACCTCCTGTGCTCAGGCAATCCTTCTGCCTTGGCTGGGACTACAGGCATGCACCATCATGCCTGGCTAATTTTTTTGATTTATTGTAGAAACGAGGTCCTGCCATGTTCCCCAGGCTGATCTTGAACTCCTGGGCTCAGGCAATCCTCTCGCCTTGGCCTCTCCAAATGCTGGGATTACAGGCGTGAGTCACTGTGCTGGCTGTTCACTTGTTCTCTGTGTGTGCTGTTATACTGTGTTCCTCATTTCCCTTAGATTATGGTTATCGAAGCACAAATTTACCACCAGAAGCCATCATTACAATTTTATATCATGCACTACTAACATAATGCAGAGGGGTATGAAGTTGTATGACTTTGCTTTGGTAACGTATGTTGGGCTTTGTCCCCAGTCCACACCCCTGCCTCCTACTTCCTCACCCTTGACATTTGCTGGACTGTTTTCCTTCAGGTCCTTCCTTATCTCTCACCTCTGTGCAGGGATTTCTTCTGGCATATCATTAAATACTACCTACTTGTGTTTCTCAAGGTCAATTTGATTGACTCCAGGTTTTCAAGCTGCTAGCCAACTTCAGCATGTTCATACGTTAGCTGCGATGAATCATATCGGTATCGAGGCCAGGAGGGTCCTGCAACATATTGGCGCCTCACGGGAGAGTCTCAAAGTGTTCCAAAGTTTTTTGTTGCAGCAAAAGCTCATTCAGAAGTCTTGGGCCATTTGGCTGGGCATTGGCTCTCCCATGCCAAGGCTCCGTGGTTCTTCTCCACTCAGGTGCTGGAGAGAGAGTTCGTGCCTCCTTCCCCAACCTGTTCTTCTCTGCCTGGTCTTTCTCTTCCTACCTTCTTTGCACATGACAGGAACGCTGTGCTCCAGAACATTTCATGTCTGTCTCTGAGCCAGCGGAATGCTATTCTCACATCCACAATGGGGCAGCTACCAACCTTGATGTTTCAAATCCCTGTCACATGCTGTGCCCTGGGCCAGGTACTTCACACCCCTTATCC